CCCTAAACCCTAAACCCTAAACCCTAGCCTACTCTTGATAGCTCCCCGACAATGCCAATCCCCAACCTAAGGCGAGCTTGGCTGCAGCTGGCCTGCAGGCTGGATCCCCTGGTTCGGGATCTGCGTCGGGTTCAAAATCAGGGTTTAGGGTTTAGGGTTTAGGGTTTGGGGTGTGGGACGATGCAGGCGTCAGCAGAGGAAGAAACGCCCATGCACTCCGTGCTGGAGTGGCTCCTGCGGTACTTGCCAAATGTCAACATTAGGTGAATTTAGGCTCAAGGGTTCAGGGTTTAGGGTTTAGGGTTTAGGGTTTAGGGTTTGCTGCAGGTGAACACGCACATTCGGCAGTTTTACTCGCTGCAGAAGCAGCAGGAGCTGCAGCTGCGGCTGCAGCGGCTCGACCGGCTGCTGAACGAACACTTGAAAGAAGCAGCAGCAAGAAAGGAGTTCGAGGCGGAGGCGAGGGAGGTGCTGCAGCAGCAGCAGGCCGTGCGCCAAACCCTAAACCCTAAACCCTAAACCCTAAACCCTGATTTTGAACCCGACGCAGATCCCGAACCAGGGGATCCAGCCTGCAGGCCAGCTGCAGCCAAGCTCGCCTTAGGTTGGGGATTGGCATTGTCGGGGAGCTATCAAGAGTAGGCTAGGGTTTAGGGTTTAGGGTTTAGGGTTTAGGGTTTGGGGTGTGGGACGATGCAGGCGTCAGCAGAGGAAGAAACGCCCATGCACTCCGTGCTGGAGTGGCTCCTGCGGTACTTGCCAAATGTCAACATTAGGTGAATTTAGGCTCAAGGGTTCAGGGTTTAGGGTTTAGGGTTTAGGGTTTAAGGTTTAAGTTTGTTTGGGCGCTAAGGGATAGAATCAGGGTTTAGAGCTGAAGGGCTGGCTACCTCGAGGAGATGTTTTGAGGATTAGTATCAACAGATGAGGGTTAAGGGTTTAGGGTTTAGGTCTGATGATCAGGGGTTTAGGGTTTATGGCCTAGGGTTAAGGGTTTAGGCTTTATGGCTGACGGTTAAGGGTTTAGGGTTTAAGGGTGAGGGACTGCGGTTAAACGTTTAGACTTAGGGGCTAGGGTCAAGGCTTTGGGCTGAATGCTTAGGGTTTAGGGTTTAGAGTTTAGGCTTTAGATTTTCGAGTTTAGGGTTTAGGGTAGGGTTTAGGGCTTAGGGTTTAGGGTTTAGGGTTTGTCTCAGGCTTGAAAACGTGAGGATTTGGCTCGACGACTCTGTGGGTTTGTTCGGCCCTCCTGCGAAGGTGCTGCTGAGCATCAAGCGCATTATTTTCAAGGTGGCCTTTAGTTCTAAACCCTAAACACTATCCTAAACCCTAAACCCTAGCCCAAACCGTAAACCCTAGCCCAAACCCTAAACCCTAGCCCAAACCCTAAACCCTAGCCCCTCAGCAACCGGCCACAAGGCCGGTTGCAGCCTTTGCGCTGCGCTGGGGGCGCGTTTGGTGCGGAGCAACGCGGCGTGGGGCTCAGGGTTAAGGGTTTAGGGTTTAGGGTTTAGGGTTTGCGGGCGCGCAGCCGTCTGCCTCGAAGGTGCCGTGGGGCTTCAGCTGGGGTGTATGTACACCTGGACGCCCCGCAGCAGCAGACGGAGTGGCCCTGGGGCCCCAGCTGTCGGAGCCGGAGGTGTTGGGGGCCCTTGCAGTGGACGTGTTTGTGCGGCAGCTGAAGCTTTCCCTCAGCAGCAGCAGCAGCAGCAGCAGCAGCAGCAGCAGCAGGGGCGGCGGCGGCAGCAGTGCGGGCGGCGACGGCGACGAGATGTGGGTCGACGTGCTTCGCACGGAGGAGCTCCATCTGCACTTGTTTGTGGAGAGAGAGGGCAGCAGCAGCAGCAGCAGCAGCAGCAACAGCAGCAGCAGCAGCAGCAGCAGCGACCAGCGGGGGCCCCTGCGGTGGCGAGCTTCTCTTAACATTCTTGCTGCAGAAGAGATTCAAATTTCTTTGGACTGCTTCTGTCTCTTTTACTTTTGCTGCACTCTCAACAAATTCCAACACTTGCAAAGACTCAAACTTCTCACTGCCTACAGACCCCCCGTAAACCCTAAACCCTAAACCCTAAACCCTAAACCCTAGCGCAGCTGGCTTGGGGCCGAGGGCACTGCAGACAACCCAGACGGAGGACGAGCCTGGTGTTTGGCTCCGCAAGAGATTAGGGTTTAGGGGCTAGGGTCTAGGGCTTAGCGCTAAGGGTTTAGGGTTTAGGGTTTAGGGTTTAGGGTTTAGGGTTTGCAGGGACGGCCAACCAAGTACCCCAGGGCCTGGTGGCTTTACTCCAAAATGTATTCGCGGCTACTGCGGCGGGAGAGAAGAGGCAGCGACGACTTCTTTACTCAGACTGAGGAGCGAATCATGCACATGAAGAGGTAGGGTTTAGGGTTTAGGGTTTAGGGTTTAGGGTTTGGAGTTTGCGCGTTGTGCGTCGCGATTGGGCAACGGAAGAGCTGGCGGGCTGCACTGCAGTGAGGGTTTAGGGGCTGGGCATTCGTGTGGAGCTTCAAAGCCAGGTTAAAGATTTAGGGTTTAGGGTTTAGGGTTTAGGGCTTAGGGTTCAGGGTTTAGGGTTTGGGGTTTGTTGCTGGCCGGTTCTGCAGGTTCATCCGCCTGGTGAAGGTTCTGCTGCTGCAGTACCGTGAGCAGCAGCAGCAGCAGCCGCCAACACAGCAGCAGCAGCAGCAGCAGCACGGGAACGTGCCAATACCGCCTCTCACAGAGCTGCTGCGGCCAGTGATGGAGCGCTACACGCAGCGGCAGCAGCAGCAGCAGCAGCAGCAGCGGTGGCGGCGCAGGCAAACTGTGGGGCAGGAAGAGTCCGATGATCTCTTTTTGCTGCTGCAGTTCGCCCGAAGACCCTACGAGGGTTTAGGGTTGTGGGTTTTGATAGCAGCAAAAGAAACAGAAGCAGCTCTTGAGGCGCTGCAGCAGCGGGGTGACGCAGACCTGCAGCAGCAGCAGCAGCTGACGCAGCGGCTGCGGGTGCTGCGGCAGCAGCAGGCGCTGCTGCAGCAGCAGCAGCAGCAGTTCACCGCTACCAACGGGGCGCCGGTAGTGGAGGGCCTGAAGCAGCAGCAGCAGCTGCTGGTGCTGCAGCAGCAGCAAGAGGTGCAGCTGGAGCTGCAGGCGAACGTGGAGGAGCAGCAGCAGCTGCTGCTGCAGCTGCAGCACGAAATAAACGAAATAGTTCGAGAGAAAATAGTTTATTTCTTTTCAACTCCAGCAGCTTTTTGTCAAGAAGCGCGCGAAGCAGCGGTGGCGCTGGAGCGGGGGCAGCAGCAGCTGCAGCAGCAGCTGCTGCTGCTGCAGCGCGAGCGCAGCCTCGGGCACTGCAGCAGCAGCCAGCTGCTCGAAGTGTACAGACAGCAGCAGCGTGCTGCAGCAGCAACTTGCCGCGAGCTGGAGAGCCACAGAGAAACCTGGCGGCTATCGAGACACCGCATGCTGCTGTGGGCTGAGCTGCTGTCAGTTTATGAGAATTTGTTTCCTGCTGCTGCTGCTGCTGCGCTGCTGAATGACAAGGCCCTGGCTGAGCTGCTGCAGCAGCACAGAAGGCGGCAGCTAGAGGAGACATTTGGGGACGGCGCGCTGCGCCGCAGCAGCGGGCTCGACCCTGTCTTCACCCGACGAGCAGCAAAAGTCCCTGCTGCTGCTGCTGCTGCTGCGCCGGGGAGCGCAGCGGCGCGAGCGGCGCCGGACGGAGCTGCTGCAGCTGCTGGCGCCGTAGCAGCAACTGCAGCCGCTGCAGCAGGGGCCACGGCAGAAGCGGCAGGAGCTGCTGCAGCAGCGGCAGCAGCAGCGGCGGGCGCCGGTAAGGAGCAGCAGAAGCAGCAGCAGCTCCACAGACACGTGCAGCAGCAGCAGCGGCAGCACGTGCTGTGCGCTGCAGCAGAAGCAGCAGCAAAAATCCCAAGGATGCTGCTAACTATTGGCAAAACTTGTGAACTCCCGCTTGCCCGCAGCCTCCACAGACGCAAACTTGGTTTGCTGCTGCGGAAGGTTACTTTGCGGCTGGCGCCTTTGGTGACTGCAGACTCCTGGCAGCAGCAGCAGCAGCAGCAGCAGCAGCAGTGGCTGCTGCTGGAGGCGCTGGACACGGCGCTGGAGCTGCAGACCTTGAACGGCGCTTCTTTGCTTTGCTGCTTCCGCTCTCTCGAGCTTTACCTCTGCAGCGGCTTGCTGCATGCGCAAAGACGAAGCAGCATCAGCAGCAGCAGCAGCAGCAGCAGCAGCAGCAGCAGCCAGGGCCCCGGCTGGAGATGCCAGCTGGAGGAGAGGATTCAGCTGCTGCTGCTGCGGGTTGCGCAGAACGCAGCAACAAGTCCCAACAGGCAGGGGCGCCGCAGCAGCAGTGTCTGCAGCAACAGTGAGAACGCCGCGCTGCAGCAACAGCAGCAGCAGCAGCAGCATCAGCAGCAGCAACTCACAGTGCCTCTTGCGTCTGCTCCTGCCAGCGACATTGGCCAGCAAGGCAGCAGCACCCCACGGGAGCTCAACAGCAGCAGCAGCAGCGGCAGCAGCAGCAGCGCGCAAAGGCAGAGCATCTGGCAGAACGCGATGGGCGCGATTGGTAGTGCAGCGAGCGCTGCAGCAGCAGCAGCTGCAGCTGCTGCTGTTGCTGCTTCGGACGCCGAGTCCAATGCCACTCGATCACGCAGAGGCTCTCTTGTTGAGGACATCCCCAGCAGCAGCAGCAGCAGCAGCAGCAAACTAGGAGCAGCAAAGGCATACTTCCTGGAATCTGTGAAAACGGGAATGCTGCTGCAGCAGCAGCTGCAGAAGCACCTGTCGTTTCTGCTGATACGCTTGACTGCTCTGCCGCTGCAGCAGCAGCAGCAAAACCTGCAGCAGCAGCAGCAGCACAGCCAGCTGCAGCAGCAGGAAGGTGTTCTCCGCATTGGAGTCCCCCTGTATCTGCAGGCCACTGCAAAGCTGCAGCACATTTGGGGCCGCCTGCAGATGACTGACGTGAAGATGCTGCAGCAGCAGCTGCAGCAGCTGCTGCTGACTATTGCTGCTGCTGCTGTCGCAGGAGGCAGGCCAACTTACACTGCTTTGCCCGAAAGGTACTTCAAACCCTAAACCCTAAACCCTAAACCCTAGTGGCTAAATCCCAGCCCGTGGGGCCTAAGCAGAAAGCGTGGGAGCACAATGTGATACGGTAAAGAAAGCCCGCGGACTGCTGCTGCTGCACTTGCTGTTGCTGCTGCTGCTGCTGCGCTGCAGCAGCACCGACAGCGTGGCCTTTTTCGCGGGGCTGCTGACAGCTTACAAGAGACACAATGACCGGCTGTTGCAGCTGTACAGACAGCGCGTGCAGCAGAGTTCTATTCCAAGCCTTCCGCTTTCTACCGACGACAAGAGCCAAAAGCGGCAGCAGCAGCAGCAGCAGCAGCAGCAGCAGCAGCAGCAGCAAGAGCAGCAGCAGAAGCAGCGGAGCAGCGAATCAGCAGATCATCATTTCTCGTGCCTCAGAAGCTGGGGAGGGAGACACTGAAGCAGCAGCTGCAGCAGCAGCAACTGCAGCAGCAGCAGCAACGCGCCTTGCAGCAGCAGAGGAGATTCTCAGTATTGCCATTAGAGAGCAAGAGCTGACTCTTTCGCTTAGCAGCAGCAGCAGCAGCAGTAGCAGCACGAAGCAACCTGTGCTGCACATGTCTTTGGGAGGTGTCTGTACAGCTGCCTGCCACTCCCCCACAAATCTGCTGCTGCAGCTGCCGCTGCTGTTGCAGCTGCTGCAGAGCCGGTACCAGGAGCTGCATGCGTTGCTGCTTCTGCTGCTGCCCCCCAAGTGGGCAGCAACGAAGCCACCAGAGCTGCTGCTGCTGCTGCAGCAGCAGCTGCAGCAAGAAGCACAAGCAGCAGTTAGCAGCTCAAAGGAGATAGTGCCTTCCTTTAGTTCTTGGGCTGCAGCACTGTACGGGGTAGTAAGGGAGGCCGCTTGGCAGCAGCAGCAGCTGCTGCTGCTGCAGCAGGACGAGGAACAGCAGCGGCAGCAGCAGCAGCAGCAGCAGAAGCAGCAGCAGCAGCAGCGCCGGGACAGCGCCTCACAGGTCATCCGCCTCAGCGACGAGCTGGTGCTGCCGCTTTTTCCTGTTGCTTCTGAAGAGTGGAGCAGCAAAACTAATGCTGCTGCTGCTGCTGCTGCTCCCGGTGATGTCCCTGCTGCTGCTGCGCCAGTCCCTCCTTCCCTTACTGCCCGGCCCGCGCGACGAGAGCCTGCTGCTGCTGCTGCTGCTGCTGCGACACAGCCCCAGGCTGTTGCTGCTGCTCCTCGAGTGCCTGCAGCAAGGGCAGCAGGAGCAGCAGCAGCAGCCAGAGCAGCAACAGCAGCAGCAGCAAAGCCAGGAGCAACTGCAGCAGCACCAAAGCTCCAGCAGCCAGCAGCTACCCCGCTTAACAGCGCGCCTTACCCTGCGGCTCCCGCTGCTGCTGCAGTACCCCCTGGAGCTGCAGCAGCTGCAGCAGCAGCAGCGAGGGCAGCAGCTGGGGCACAGGCAGCAGCGCCAGCCCCAACAGCCCCTAGTGCTGCAGCAGCTCCTGCTGCAGCAGCTCCTGCTGCAGCAGCAACGAAGCCATCAGCAGCACCTGTAGCAGCTTCTGCTGCACCAGCCAGTCGGGAACAAGCTGCTGCAGCAGCACCTGCAACGGCGGCCTCGCCTATACCTGCGGCAGCGCCTGCGGGCTTGGGGCCTGCTGCTGCTGCTCCTGCTGCTGCTGCTGCTTCTGCTGCTGCTGAGACTGCTGCAGCACCACCTGCTGCACCACCTGCTGCTAAATCCTCCCCGGATTCGGCACGCCCACCTTCCGGCATCAAGAAGCGTCAAGATGCGAATGAAGAGCACACTGCTGCTGCTCCTCCTGCTGCTGCGCCTGCTGCTGCTGCTGCTGCTGTTCCCAGAGCAGCAGCAGCAGCAGCAGCAGAAACCAAGCCAACCTCACCCCGGCTGGCTGCAGACGCAGCGCCAGCGCAGCAGGCAGCTGCCCCGCCAGTCCCCCCGCTGAAACCCTTGAGACCGACTGTTGCAGCAGCAGCACCAGCAGCAGCAGCCCGACCTGCAGCAGCAGATGCAGCAGCAACAGATGCAGCAGCAGCGGCAGCACCTCGCGCTGCGGCGTCACCGCTAGCAGAGACTCGAGCTGCGAAGTTTGGAGGGATATCTCAGCGGCTAGCTCCTGCTGCAGCGGCTGCTGCTGCAGCGCAGCAGCGGCAGCAGCAGCAGCCGCAACTGCAGCAGCCGCAGCAGCAGCAGCAGCAGCAGCAGCAAAAACCTCAACTACAGGGACATCAAATCCCACGTCTGCAAACTCAAGGTCTGCAGAACAGCGAGCGGAACTACGATCAGCTCCCCTTGTTGCAACAGAGACAGCAAACGCAGCAGCCGCAACAGCAGCAGCAGCAACAGCAACAGCAGCAGCAGCAGCAGCAGCAGCAGCAGCAGCAGCAGCAGGTGCAGCCACCACCGACCCTGTTCCCACGTCGCGTGTCTGGCGTGTCTTCTCGATCTGCGTTTCATTTGGGGCCCCAGCCTACTGCGAAGGTAGGTACAATGCAGCAGCAGCAGCAGCAGCAGCAGCAAGACTGTCAAACCCCAAGAACGCTGGAGAGGCAGCAGCAGCAAGCTGCAGCAGAACTGACTTCCATGGGGTTAAAAAGGGTGAAAGGGACAGGCGCCTTTTTTCAGTTTTATTAGCAACCAGCTGCTGCTGGCAATGCAGCAGCAGCAGCAGCAGCAGCAGTAGTCGCTGCAGCAGCAGCAGCCGCAGACACTGCTGCAGCAGCAACAGCAGCTGTTGTACGTGTTCAAGATTCTTCGCACCTGCAGCAGCAGCAGCTGCAGGCACTGCAGCAAAGATGCGCATCAGGCCGTCCTACTTCGAGACGGGTGCATCCACCATACTTCCAAGGGTTTAGGGTTTAGGGTTTAGGGTTTAGGGTTTCGGGCTGGCCAGAGCGCCACCGCGTGGTTTCAAAGACACACGGTGACAGACACGGCCTTCATCTGAGGCTTTATTTGAAGTTTGTATTACGCAAACTAGGGTTTAGAGTTTAGGGTTTAGGGTTTAGGGTTTACAGTGCACATGATTGAAGCATAAGGCGTAGGGTTTGCAAATTCGTTTAAACAGCATATAGGGGTTGTGGCCAGGTGTCTAGGGTTTAGGGTTTAGGGTTTGGGGTTTAAGGTTGGGGGTTCAGGCTGCGGGGCTAAGGCTTCGGTTTCTTCTCCGGACTAGAAGCAGAGTGTTTAGGGTTTAGGGTTTAGGGTTTAGGGTTTGAGGCTCCCCCTAGGGTTTAGGGTGTAGGGTTTGAGACTCCTGAAGGGTTTAGGGTTTGGGCTCCTGGCTAGGCCTTGCACGCTAGGGTTTCCGTCAGGTCTCAGGAGTTGTTCTCAGCCACCATTTAGGGTCAGTGGTTTGAGGTTTTGCGTTTAAGGGTTTAGGGTTTGGATTTTAGGGTTTAGGATTTGCGATTTTAGGGTTTAGGGTTTACGGAAACTTCCTCTGGTGTTCCTCGCTCCCCATTCTTGAGTGAGCGTTCACTGCGGCGTCCAGGCAACCCTTAGAGTTTAGGGTTTAGGGTTTAGGGTTTAGGGTTTGGGCTTTAGGGTTTAGGGTTTAGGGTTTGGGGTTTGGGGTTTAGGCCCTAGGATTGTGGATTCAGTGTGTGGGATCTAGCGTGTGCGGGTTTAGGGTTTACTAGGGTTTAGGCTGCAGACCCCACTGCTTCGGTTCTATATTGAGGGTTTCCCTTTGCTTTTTAGAGTTAAAAGCTCAATATTGAGGGTTTGGAGTCACCAGTTTAGGGTTTAGGGTTTAGGGTCTAGGGTCCGGGGTTTCGGGTTAAGGGTTTGGGGTTTCGTGCAGATCTAGAGTTCGGCTGCTGCAGCGAAAGCAACGCGAACATCTGTGCAATCTGACTCCCTTTTTAATTTTAATTTAAAATGAAAGACTAAAAATGCAAAATAAACCTGCCCCGATACACCAATTTAGGGTTTAGGGCTTAGGATCAAGGGTTTAGGGTTTGCGCTGCCTTGGGAGGTGACCACTGGTCGAGCCCCGTCGGGAACGCCTTGCTGCGGAAGGCTCTTCCTCTTTTGCCTGCCAGCAGCGTTTAGGGTTTAGGGTTTAGGGTTTAGGGCTTAGGGTACAGCAAAAAGGCTCCTGTAAGCCAAAAGAAGCAGGACAACTGGGGGCGCACCGCCTGGAGGAAGCAACAGCAGCAGCAGTAGCAGCACAGCAGCACCAGGGGCAGCAGCAGCAGCAGCGCCAGGTGAAGAAAGCCTCAGCTAGGCTTAAAAGGCCTTTTCAGGCTTTTAATTTATGGGAAAGAGCCGCAGTTGCAGCAGCAGCAGCAGCAGTAGCAGCAGCAGCACCAGCAGGAGCCGCAGCAACGGGCGCTGGAGGTCAAATGACAGCGGCAGTTGCTTTGACCCCTCTGCTGCCGCTGCTGTTTTGAGTTGCTGCTGTTAGTTGCTGCGTTGCTTTGTGTCAGCAGCAGCAGCAACGCTGCAGCAGCTGCTGCGGCAGCAGCGGTGCCCCTGCAGCAGCAGCAGCAAGACAAGCAGCAGCAGCAAAAGGATTCAAATCTACAGTTGCGGCAGTTTCCTTCGCAAGACACTGAGTCTCCTCCTGTAGTCTGTTGCCCGCAGCAGCAACAGCAAGAGCTGCAAGGGCGCGAAATCAGCAGCAAGACAGCAGCAGCAGCAGCAGCAGCAGTAGCAGTGGAAGCATGCGCAGCAGAAGAAGCAGCTGCAAATGGAGCCGGAAGCCGAACGCCTTCTGGAGGATGGCCGAAAGTTTAAGCCACTTCGGATTCTTTACCTCCATGGGTCTGTTGCTGCTGCTGCTGCTGCTGTCGCTGCTGCTGCTGCTGCTGCTGTCGCTGCTGCTGCTGCTGTAATTGCTGCTGCTATGCTTGCTGGTGCTGTGACTGCTGCTGCTGTGGCCGCTGTTGCTACTGTGGGTGCTGCTATACTTGCTGCAGCTATTTCTGCTGCGATGGCTGCTGCTGCTGTGACTGCTGCCGCTATGAGTAGTGCTGTTGCAGCTGCCATAAGTGTTGCTGCTGTTGCTGCTGCTGCTGTTGTTGCTGCTGTTGCTGCTGCTATTGCTGCTGCTTTGTTTTGAGCTCGCTGCTCGTATCCCAGTGCTTCTGGTCCTAGCTGCCCGCAGCTGCTGCTGCTGAGGGCGCCTTCCCTCTGCTGCAGCTGCTCCTGCTGCTGCATGTGCTGCTGCTGCTGCGTGTGCTGCTGCTGCTGCTGTTGCAGCATAGACGCTGGCCCGCGCAGCGCCATCGCGCGGCAGCTGCGGCGGCTCTTCGGAGCAGGCAGCGTGAAGGGAGGTGTCTATACACCTCAGCTGCTGCTGCGCGAAATGCTTTTTCTCTTTACTGCTTGCTGTGGCTTCGTTTTCCTTTGCCTCCTTGCTGCTGTCATGTGAGTTGCTGCTGCTGCTGCTGCTGCTGCTGCAGCGTTCGGTGCCCCTAGGCAGGCTTTGGGATCTTCTTGCGAGGGTTGCGGGCTACTGCGGAGGTTGCAAGGTCGAGGGTTTAGGGTTTAGGGTTTGGGGTTTAAGGTTTAGGGTTTAGGGTTTAGGGTTTAGGGTTCTGCTTGCCTGCAGCGTTTGCTGGTGCTTTGCCGACCGCTGGGTCGGAGGCCTCGCCACGGCTATTGCAGTAAGCCCTTTTGCTGCTGCTGCTGCTGCAGTTGCTGCTGCTGCAGTCGCGGTTGCCGTTGCTACTGCTACTGTTGCTGCTGCTGCTGCTTCTGCTGCCTTTCCCGGCTCAGCTTTGCTGCGCCTGTTGCTGCCCCAACTGCTGCTGCTGCCCGCTGCAGCGGCAGCGCGTGAGCCCCCATTCTGTTGCTGCTGCTGCTGCTGCTGCTGTTGCAGGCAGTGGTTGCAGCGGGTTTGCTGCTGCTGGCTTCCGTGTTTGTGCCTCGGCTGATGCTGGCTGAGGCCTCTCGAAGAGCAGCAGCAGCATTTAAAGAGTTTCAGCCAAATTTAATTATTGCCAACTCCATTGGCTGCTCCATTCTCTTCAACTTGAAGGTCCCCAAGACGCCCCTCGTGAGCCTCCTGCTACTGCTGCTGCTGCTGCCGCTGCGGCTGCTGCTGCGGGTCCTGCTGCTGCTGCTGTTGCTGTGGCTACGGCGACGGCTGATGCTGCTGCTGCTGCTGCTGCAGTCATCCTGTGTAGGAGCTGCTGCTGCTGCGATGAGGCCTTTGCTCTCTGTGATGGCGCGTTTGCTTCCACCTCGCGCAAGTGCCTGCTGCTGCCGTAGTTGCTGCTGCTGCTGCTGTTGCTGCTGCTGCTGCTGCTGGGTGCTGCTGAAGCTCGCCTGCTGCAAAATGTTTTAGTTTCTCCAGAGCTGCTAGCATGCTTGGTGCACTTGGCTCCCTCCGTGGTGCTTCTTTTCTTTGCCTCCCGGCGCAGCAGCAGCAGCAGCAGCAGCAGCAGCAGAGGTCCATGTGGCGGCTGTGCTGCTGCAGCAGCGTGGCGAGTTTGGGGTGCGCTGTTGTTTGCTGCTGCAGCTGCTGCTGTCGCCCTCCTGCGCAGCCTTCAGGCCTGCTGCAGCAGCAGCAGCAAAAGTGTCTCTGCGCAGGTGGCCATACACTCTAGTTGTGCTGCAGGCGCAACAGCAGCAGCAGCAAAACAAATTCGACGAGGCCCTCAAACTCATTCAAACTGCGCAGCCAGGCAGCAGCAGACTTGAAATTCTCGGTACGCACCAACTGCTAAACCCTAAACCCTAAACCCTAAACCCTAAACCCTAAACCCTAAACCCTTAGCCGTAGAACGGAAATTCATGGTGCGAAGATCTAGCCGCGAGCTGTCTTCGTATGGCAAGACATCGACAACGAACACTAAACCCTAAACCCAAAACCCTAGACCCTAAACCCTAAATCTTAAACCCTAAACCCTAAACCCTAAACCCTGTTTTTTAAACCGCAATGGTTGTAGACTCTTTAATCTGCTGCTGCTGCTATGGGCTTGCAGAGAGCGACAGTGCCTCTTTCAAAAGGATATCCAGCGACGACCTCAGGTGCATAAACCCTAAACCCTAAACCCTAAACCCTAAACCCTAGTAGTGACATCGCGCCTCTCCTGAGAAGTTCTTGACCACACTTCTCTGCAGCTAGCTTGCGGCTTGGCGCAACGCCCCTAGGCAGGTACTGCAGCAACAACAACAGCAGCAGCAGCAGCAGCTGCAGCAGCAGTTTGTGTTTTGCTCTCTAGATCTTGGGTGGAGGAGGTGTGGGAGAGAGGGCGGCAGCAAGTGCTGCAGCAGGCGCAGCAGCGCGAAGCAAAAGTGGATTTGTCTCTTTTTCTCGAGCCTACGAGCAGCAGCAGCAGCAGTGCAAAGGACACCGCGCAGCAGCAGCAGTAGCAGCAGCAGCAGCAGCAGTGGCAGTAGTTTCAGCACTTGGCTAGCTGCATGGGCAGTGAGCTAGCTAGCAGCTAGCTAGCGTTTCGAACGGCCAGCTGGCCAGCTAGCTAGCTAGCTAGCTAGCTAGCTATGCGGCAGTTGGCTAGCTGGAGTGTTGAGTGGCGCTGAGGGCAGACTGAGTAACAGCCGGAGGCCCTCAGCAGCAGCGCAGCACCGCGGCTAGGCAGCTAGCTAGCAGCTAGCTAGCAGCTAGCTAGCAGCTAGCCAGCAGCTAGCTAGGCAGCTAGGTGGCTGCTAGGCGACTAGCTGGGTAGCTAGTCAGCAGCTGGACAGCTAGCTAGCTGCGGAGGCATCGGCCCTTCCGTTTTAGCCCTAGCCAGCTAGCTAGCTAGCTAGCTGTTTAGCCAGCTAGCTAGCTAGCTAGGTAGCTAGCTGGCTAGCTAGCCAGCTAGCTGGCTAATCGGGCGGCCGCCTGGCTAGCTAGCCAGATAGCTAGCTGAGAGGGGCCCGGCGGTGCCTTAAGGAAGAAGTGCCGGTGCTGCAGCTGCTGCGCAGCAGCAGCAGCAGCAGCAGGCGCTGCTGCTGCTGCTGCTGCTGAAGTTGAAGTAGCAGCCCACCAGTGTAGCTGGGGCTGCTTACGCAGTTCGATATTTTGGCAATAATTTTAAAAACAACTTTAATACTGTAACAGCCAGCAGCAACAGCAGCAGCAGCAGCAGCAGCAACAGCAGCAGCAACAGCAGCAGCACACCTCAGCAGCAGTCGAGGTGAGAAAGCAGCAGCAGCCGCTGGCCGCACAGCAGTAGCAGCAGCTCTGCATAGGCAGCAGCAGGTGCTGCCCACAAAACACTAGCTGCAGCGGGAGCAGCAGCTGCTGCAGCTCCTGCCTACACAGCAGTAGCAGCAGCTTCTGCAGCAGGAGTAGCAGCAGCAGCGGCTTCTGCCTACACAGCAGTAGCAGCAGCAGCTTCTACAGCAGTAGCAGCACCAGATTCTGCCTGTACAACAGTAGCAGCAGCAGCTTCTGCCCACGCAGCAGCAGCAGCAGCAGCTTCTGCCCACACAGCAGCAGCAACAGCAGCAGCAGCTCAGCTAGCTATGGCTAGTTAGAGCTAGCTACAGTTAGCTGCAGCTAGCTATGGCCAGCCTCACTGGCTGCACAGTGATCAAACGCGAACAGCGTGTAGCTGCAGCTGCTGCTGCAGCAGCTGCAGCAGCTGCAGCAAGGGCAACGGCTGCAGCAGCAGCTGCAGCAGCTACTCCAGTGGCTGGTGGTGCTGCTCGTATTGGAAGCTGCTACCGCTACTGCTGCTGAGCTTTGAGCAGGTGCTGCTGTTGCTGCTTCTGCAGCTACTGCTGCTGCTGCTGCTGTTGCTGTTGCCGTGGTGCTGCTGGGTTGGCTGTAGCTGCTAGTGCTGACCGCGGCTCTTGCTGCTGCTGATGCTCTTTCTCCTGCAGCCATTGTTGCTGCTGCTGCTGCGGATCAGGATTCCCGGGCAGCAACTGCTGCTGCTGCTGGTACTGCTGCTGCTGCTGCTGCTACTGCTGCTGCTGCTGCACACCAGTCCTATGCAGCAGCAGTTGGTGCTGCACTGCTCTAAACCCTCACACTGTTCCTCTGTTCGGTTGAGGATTTAGAGTGTACAGTTCAGCAGTTGGGACTGAAGGGCTCTAATTTAGGGTTTAGGGTTTAGGGTCTATGGTTTAGGGTTCATGGTCACGATCACCAGCCCCAACCGTGCAGCCGACCCCTCGGGGGCCCCCCAGCATACCGATGGCGCGCTAGTTGTCGGAGGGTTTAGGGTTTAGGGCTTAAAATTTAGGGTTTACGGTTAATAATCTAGGGTTTCGGGCCTAGGGTTTAGGGTTTAGGGTTTGGCTAGGGGTTTGAAAGTCGAGGCCTGGCGTATGGGTTGTTTCGAGGGACATTGTGTACGGTTTAGGGTTTAGGGTTTGAAATTTCAGTCCTAGGGTTTAGGGTTGGGGGTTTAGGGTTTGGCGCTAGCGAGATTTGAACTCCTTAGACTGCTGCAGCGGCTGCTGCAGCTGCCAGCGCACAAAAACCAACACCAGCAGCAGCAACAGCAAGAAGAGCAGCAACGGCAGCAGCGACGGCGCAGAAAAAAGAGGTAGCAGCTTCTGTATCGTTAGCGGCAAAAGCAACCGGAGCAGCAGCAAAAGGCTAGACAGGGATAACGGCAGCAGCAACAGCAGCAGCAGCAGCGGCAGCAGCAGCAGCGGCAGCAGCAGCAGGAAGAACACACACAACAGCTGCGACAGCAGCCGCGGCCGCAGCAGCTACCGCAGCTGCCGCAGCAGCAACCGTAACTCTGCAGGAGCAGCAACCACAGGAGCAGCAGCAGCCGCCATAGCAGCAGCAGTAGCTGCAGCAGCTGCAGTAGCCGCCAGCGGCGAAGCAGCAGCAACTTCAGCAGCAGCCTCCGCCATAAATACAGCAGCTCTAACCACAGCAGCGAAAGCAACAGCCACCACAACTGCAGTAGTAGCAGGAGCAGCAAGAAGAGTAATAGCAGCAGCAGCAGCAGCAGCAGCAGCAGCAGCAGATGCCGTTTCACCTGGCTGAGACCTCCCCGCTGCCTTCGCAGCTGCTGCTTGGCCTGGAGCCCCGCGGCCTTCAAATATCAAGAAGGAAAAAGCTTTCGCTGAACAGGCGGCTGCAGCAGCAGCAGCAGCAGCAGCAGCAGCAGTCTTCGGGCTGCGGCGTCTGCGAAGGCTGCGTCGGCAGCAGCAGCAGCAGCAGCAGGGAGGTGGAAGACATCCACGAGTTCATTTCGAGGCTGAAGCAGTTTATGCCCATCGACTTTTTGCTGCTGCCTCTCGCAGACCCAAAGGGAGATGTTCTGGCCTGCTTGGCTGCTGCTGCTGCTG